ATATCTAAAAATTTATTGAAAAGTTATTAACGCTTCGATAAATTTCGAGGAAGTATCGACTTGAATGAAAAAAGCTCGCAAAAGTCGATTATATGGTCACTAATTAAGCAGTTGCTCCGTTCAATATTGGATAACTAATTTTAACCAACCAAGCGACGGATGCGCGTGGCGAGGTTCTAGGAATAGCCAATCGTTCATTAAGATACACTATGACACTGACCTGTCTATACTTATGCAGACAATTACGAAAGATGAAAGATACTGGCCGAATAATCTGAAGAAGGTCATTATACGACACATCGCGTCCCCCGCTTCCCATGACACCGTAATTGACCATCCGATTTCTAACGGTATCTTCAGAAACGTCACCTGAAAAGAAAATGAATGGGTCCGCTTGTAATTGATTTATTAGTTTATACAAGGGACTATAAAATTATATCATCTAACTTTGCGTTCTACCGCATGTATCTTTATATATTGTGTTATAGTTTAATTATTTTAATTATTATATTATTGACAGTAACCGATAGTCAGCACTTACAAAGAGGTCAGCTATCGCCAGGTGCATCATCAGGATGTTTATCCGGAACTTGGACTTTTGTTTTTGTATTATAGTCATTATTAGCATAGCAATATTTCCAGTCCCAGATATTATCATTAAGATACTATAAGCAATTATCTTTATCAATTTGCCCTTGTTGAGGTCCATATCGATCAGCGCATCAATATAGTCGTATTTGGGACTCACCCCGGTTTCGTTTAATTGCAATGTCTTCTCCATACCGTCGAGAAACATTATTACTTCATCTGAAACTGTTATTTCCGATTTTACGAAAAGACGTTCTTTTTCTCGAACAGTTTTATTTACGGATTAGAATTTAAGAGATGACTGGAACGAAAGAGAAAGATGAGGGATTTCTATATCCCGTGAGGCGAATTCATTTCGGACACAATCCCATTTTTAGCTCGGCAAGTTTGGGAAACATAAATCGAGATAATGCATTTGCTTTGTTCACGAGGCATTTTAGTGGCACATTTCCAAAAGAGAGAAAGAGAGAGAAAGAGAGAGCGAGTGAGAGAGGGAACGAGGAGGGAGGGACAGGTGAGGAGAGGGAGAGGAGAAAGAGAGAGAGAGAGAGAGAGAGCGAGAGGGGGGGAAGGGGAGTACAGCGGACCTCTCGATCGCGTGAATGGGTGATTTGAACCTCCCGAGATCTTCTGGTCGATTGCAAATACTAGTTGGGTTGGCCAACCGCCTCTCATGTTACGGCCATTTCTATCATGGAGAAAAATATGTTCGAGTTGACCTGAGACATTTCCCAGTGGTTGTAAGGCACTGTCTCTCCGCTATGAATGTGGTTACGTTATGGTCTTATAGCTCCTGCATACAGGA